GGACATTTTCATACTGTATGTATACGATTGAGTTGTGTGCTTGTTTATTTATGTGTCCTGGGTGATCTTGGAATATACATTTCCCTCGACTAAATCTGGTCATCTCCCTCTAGTTAGCAGGGTTGAGAAGTAGTGGAATAATTTAGCTTGTCCTGTTGAGTTGCTGAACTTGGTTCCATTCGCTGGTCTTAGGTGATATCGTAATTTCTTCAAATGTAGCATCCTCACAAACATAGCTTCTCATTTATTCACTTCGAGCAACGTGCTCAATGTTTAATCATTATCATTTTGATAATAAATTATTTTGATCTATCTTGGAATTCAGCTTCTTTTATTCATTTTATTGGTCCAATTTACTATAATAAACTTAAACTAATAACTATACACCTTATTTCAGGTTCTAAGTTATTGATCACGTAATGATTGATCATGAATTATACGTATTAAATCTATAATCAAATGGTTACATCACAAGAGAACATTTCATATCGTATTTACTTACAATGAGTCAAGTGTATTTTACACCACATTTTCTAATTAGCTCATATAAGTCAATGATAAGCATGATTATGACTAGTCTGTATAAGTAAACATTATAATGTATTTATTATGTACGTAAAACATCATGAGAATAATTTTCTCAAATTGAGATCATGAGTCAATTGAAGCTAGACCACCATGGAAAAACGGGAAGCACTGGATGGCCGTTTCGTCTCAGTACGGGATTTCTCAGCTGTGAGCATCCACGATCCCGCATCCGCGAGATTCGGACCCAGGACCTATCAATCTTGCGCCATGCGCTTAACCAACTAGACCACTGAGCCAGCATCTAATGGTGTTAATGTCTAACTCCAACCAATCCACGAAGTTGCGCCACCGTACACCATTGTCTTCAGTGAGTTGATATCTCACAACAGACCTGATTGAACTCTACTGGTAACGGCTTCTCACTAGAACTCCAGAAGTATCTCTTGAAGTCAGTCACTAGTGAGCAGATCACCTTCTGATAATAATTTTCTGACTTGAGAAGAAAGAGACAAACTTCGGTCTAACAATCCAGTTTTAATTGATTCGAAGATCAGTAACGTGAACATGTAGTGTGTATATATATATAAATGTATACTAACGTACAGTTTGTTGTGCAGATGTTGGACGAAGTAATTCAGCCAATAAATCTCGTAGTTGACCTGAAGGCGGTAGACATTCTGAAATAATAATAATAATAATCGACATGGTGTGTATTTTCCATAATGTGAATTAGAACAACATATATTAGGGAAAAATAATAAATTAGATCGTCATCAGGCTTTATTCTAATACGCAATGGCTCCTTCAGCCAGATGAACGCGATAGGCCCTTCTGGATAAAAGGCTTACATAGATAAACGACACAACAACAAAAGATTCAGTAGTTGTTTTTGCACATTTTTCTTGTCTTTGGTTTTATTACGAATTAAGTGATCGCTGACCAACGGTGTACCACCTAGCAGTGAATGATTATTCCTTTTCTCGTAAGTAGGATCTTTTAGTACAGTAATATTTATATGCATATAAGAAACCAATCAAGGCAATTGATAAGTCAGTGACAATAGTGGAATAGATTACATGAATAAACATAATTAGTAAAGAGTACAAATTGGTAGTGTGAGATGACAGGTGTACCAGCTGTGATAAGAATAACAAAAGCTTGAATTCATGTTTCGTAATAGGAAATAGGTCAATGACTTGAAAAATATAGATCTTGAAAGAACATTCATAAAATCCATGATTGGACAATGAAGCATGTACTTAGGAAAAAATGTATGGGAGGGGTTAAATAAAAATAAATGAACAAAGGGTATGGAGATTAAAATCGATTTGGCCAAGGAAGAGATTAAGGTGTTACAAATTTCTTATCAATACAAAAATTCGGATAATTAGCTCGAATTTCAATAGCTTCTGCTATATGTAACAGACGATATTGAGCTCCATTAGGAGAACCAGTAAGAATACGATAAATCACTTCAAATGACCTATTTATGTCTACTACATGATCGCTATCGATCAAATATGATATAATAGAGCTCTGTATTGTTTTAACGATATCCTTTCTCAACCACGAAGGAAGGCGTTCACTAATTCTTGACTCAGTTATCTGGTTGTGTGCTGAATATGGCTTTCTTCAAAAAAGCAGCTGAATTCGTAGATATACATAAGCGACTGAGGGATATCAGTTGAATAGGCCAATCACTATCCAATCAATAAAGTTTTGAGTGTTAGATTTAATGTCTTGGTGATTATATCAAGATCTGATCTAGAATATTACCTCTGACAGAACAGAAAGAAACATGAGTAATAACTTAAGATGAACAGTAAAGAGTTCGTGTACGACGTTGTGTAATTTCACTGATGTAAGTAGCTGAATTACGTAGTCGCCGAAACAATGCAAGCTAAAATCATTATTCTTCTTTCGTTGAGATAAGTAATCGTTAGTGGGAACAGTTACAAGAGTTTCAAATTAATATGCAAAACATGAGTCAAAATCCTTTTTTTCCCTTCGCATCTAAGATTAATTCATTGAGAAAAACCACTATTTAAAAGTGAATTTTCTTAAAATGTTAGGCAACTGGGAAGCAGCCAGTCACAGGCATGAATTCCTCCCTAGATTGTAGTTACCACATACTAACAATGGTAAATACCAAGAAACCTGGATCCAGTGCTTCACACCGACTACTCCTAACCACAGAAATTCATTCATTTTAGTGAGTTATCCTTTAAAAATAACATTATTACTTGACTGATTATTACAAGCAAAGATGGATGGTGACCAGCAGTGGAATTCAGGACACGTGTTTCGTTCTATTTAGGACTCGTCAGCCAGATGTACGTGCATCCCACAGTTGATGTTCACTCAAATAGCAATTATAAAAAAATTGTACAAAGAAGTCATACTGCCGAATTGACTAGAGTGCGACAGTAGTATTGCCTCCAGATAACCAGCAACTGCAGCGACACTGCCTTCCCGCAATCGGAAGGGAAGGTTGAAAGTTTGGACCTGAAAATTCTACACTCCATCATGCATCACGGATTCTCATAGCATAAAATAAGATCTTAAATGTACGGAGATAACACATCAAAAACTACTCTGACAAAGGCTGAGTACCCAACTTTAAGCAATTGTTACTTCGACTGTGTAGTCACGCTTACAGTTTGGCAAGACCAGTACTACTATTCGAGTTTGTTTTTCATGACGCACAAAAAGAAATATCCTTCCCAAGTATGTGTAAAATTAATGAATAAAGGAATTACAGCTAAGATAGAAAATACATCAACATTAAATGATAATCGTATTAATATAGTTTATATCGACTAACATGAAGAAAATAGGTCGCTTATCGATTTTTCAACAAATCAGCTTACATTCATTAGTTTGTTTGGATTTTAGGAGTTTTAAGGGTATGTAATTTATTATTGGCCCTCGTTTATCCACTACAATGTGACAAAAATCTTTGTACATACAAACTGATATTTTGGTGATTGAATTAAATTATTTATCTCTATGACTATTTATCATAGAAGCAAATCAAAATTCAATATCATATTCATTGAGAAAGTAGTTTTATTGATAAACGGTTACGTCTTATGATGACTTAACAGTTGCTCGAAAATTTAGTCGCAGTCAGAGAAGAATATGATTAAAGGTTTGAGGTGGAATAGCAGATCGTAGATGATAGACTGTGAAACAATCTTAGAGATGTGGAAAGCAGTCATATTTTTTGTAAATTAATGAATATCGAGGTCCTATTATAAATCAGTTCAATTACTTGAGAATAAACCACACTCTCTTCACATAAGATATAATAATACTGTTAACGTATCGAAGCTAAAATAATTTGTAGGATTTGGATTTGTGATTATGTGGTTGGAAATTGAAAGACTTAGGCAAGAACGCATTGCTTTAATCAAATTAAATAACAGTAATGTATTAGATGGTTAATGGAAATTATCAAGAAGCTCTGGATATGTAATTTGTATTAGTTGGTACTCATCAATAAGAAGGATTTACAATCTAAAAGGAATAGATGCTTCCCGTGGGATAGAACCTATGAGTACTAAGGAATACACAAACGTGATATTATTTGTTACACACATGTTAGTCAACGTAAATATTCTAAACCTACAGGAAATTAGCAATGGTTGAAATAACTGTGTGGTCAAATATCTGATAGTGCACGAGTTCGAACACATCAGTTCTCTGAAGATACGTGTTATGGACAAGTGCCAAGTCCAGTTGTCTCCAATGTTCACCTAACATGGTACATATGATTTTGAATCACTTCCACTGGAGAACAACTTGTTCTGTCTAATCTGATTGGACATAAAACGAGACTAATATGATATTTTAAGGTTGCGTTCGTCACTGATTGATCTCAGTTGGGATACCAATGAAAATCCGAGAGCATTGAATAAATGTTTGATCCAAATAGAGGACTACTTTGCAGTACGCATCCACGACGTTACCAAGGATTGAACTTAGAACCTGCATGTTTCATGTCGAAAGCTTTAACATTAAAGCCACCATTAGTGTCTAGTAGCACACTTTCAGCTTCAATTAGGTTGCAATATACCGCGATAATCATCTTATACCATTGATGATAATTGTCTCACCCCTGACGTCTGAACATTAGTAGTGACGATATTTAAAGAGGTTCCGAGGGTACTCACTATCAAGAAGTCACACACTAAAACGAAACAGACACTCAGTCTTCTTTACATTTTAAAGACAAGTCCACTGAGACTAATATGTGACGAATAATACTTATAAATTAAACTAATCTTCATAACAATCATTCAATTAAAATATGTTTCAGGATATTAGATGACATAATCAGTCCATTCATAGCATAATATAAACAGGATTTACGTATCTCTTGAATGACACATAAAAACTTACCGACACGAAGCTTGTTCATCGCCTAATGCACCGGATTTTGCAGTAAAATGTAATGAAGTCATGTCACTTTAACCGTCACGATCATCAACATGAGCACCACGTCTAAATATCTGTTGATGGAATTAAATAAAATTGAGTAAAGAAAAGAGACAAATATGGATGTGTGTGTGTGTGTGAAAGATACAAATAATCAAGACTGATTTATTTTATATTCATGACAAAATTATTTGATTACACAATACCATAACGGCTGACGGTGTGGATGAACAACAAAAAAAACAAATAAGATAGTGATTCTGTAAAAAGATGAGCGATCATATGCGTAAAATTGACTGCAATAATACTCTGCAAGTTTATATTTACGTAATGGTTTTCGTCACGATTTAATTGATTGTTCTCACTTTCAGTTTGCAATTTGCCCAAAGAACATGATTTGCTGCTAATATACATACATGATTTACTCCTACTTGAAACTTAATATATTGACTATCAAGCTTTTTTTGATTCTCGGATTACTGTCTTTTATCGTATTCGTTATTATTATTACAGTGTTATGCGGTAAACCCTTAACCAGGTACACATAATCAGTGATGGGAAATCTGAACTTTAAGCCAAACTGTTGGTGTGAGAGCCAATGATATTACGCAATCACCTGTATCAAAACAAATGGACCTCGAGTTCGAAAAAATAGAAAACTCTGAACATAAGAAGAACCATTTGTCAGAGGAACCTATATTATCCAAGAAAAATATTTATTGAACACAAATACAAGAAGTAAATAGCGTACATTTTGGAACCGCCGAACAAGTGATTTCTGCGTTAGCGATAAGATGCTAAGAAGGGATGAGGAACCAACTGATGAGGTGGAAAATCCTTATCAACTAAGGTGGTTGAGACATGTGTTACGTATGGTAAATTATCACCTATCTGAACGGGCCATTTTGTCTGGTATAAAAGTAGACTAGAGGAAAGCTAAGAACGGTCAAACTAACACATCCATAAAAACATTGACTATCGAAATGAGCTGTTTAGGAAGATGAAGACAACTGAGTTGTAGTCCGCAAGATTATTGTAACCACTGGTAAGAGGCTCTGAATGAGATGGCATGCATTCAATCGATATCTTCCCCCGCATTCTGAGCTTCTGAATTCCTCAATTTTTCTAATTCCACTAATATTCTTGAATCGCATCCTTGATGCCCACTATTTTCTGTTACTACCCATACTGTTATTACATCCGTTACTTTGGAATTTTCCCTGATAATTTCATTTTTCCGTGCTAATGGGGTATAGTGACTTGAAATGATGTTTTTATGTATAGGTTCTACGTTAAAACTGACTGAAAAACAAATTTTATAGTCACTTTTATATAATGAACGAAATTTATATAATCAAAAAAACAGTAATCAATTTATCAACTTCACGTTTTTCCCCAACCAATCGATAAAATCCATCAATGAAACATACCTCTTCAACTATTGTAATTAATTGTAACTGTGCATAAGGTGTCCATTGACGTAAAATAGCAAATAATTGTGATATAGTTAAATTACTTGATGTCACTGACTCTTGACAGTCTTCACACCACCATGGACCAACAGGCATTCGCATAACCCATGACCTTGATTCTTCTTCATCATCATGAATCATTTCTTCAGGTAGATGATGATTACTATTATCATTATTTACAGGTGATCCAGTCACTGAATCATATTCTTTTGACATTTCTTCATCCATAACACGACAATTCTTTAACAATTAAAATGAACAGAGATAGGAATAGGAAAATTGACTGCAATTCAATGACAAGTATGAGTTTGTGAAGATTGAAGAATATTACTGAAAACCAGAAACATTGAAAAGCTTGTATACATGCCGTGTTGATGAGTGAGAATTAGTATGAAACCTATGATCAGGATATTCTGTCGACCGGTATTATCGGCAGGGTAGAATCGGAAATCTATCATGCACAGATCAGGCACAAATCACAGTAGACTGATTAGCTAGCTTTGAAACAATTAATGTTAATGGACGAACTGAAAAGATGATAGATTATCCGGTAAAAGTATACTTTCGGAATGAACCATTCAGAATCAAGAACACTAGCTTTGGGGTTTTGTGCAAAACGTTCAAAATCAGAGCAATAAATTCATTTTCTGCAGCCATAAAGATGGTAGTGTTAAATATATCAAATGCTTTATTTTGTCCTTTTTGATTGTACATAACAAATGAATTGAAACTATCCCTAAATCCAAATCTTTGGTCCTGAAAGAAACGTAAACCTAGTGGCACTAGGTTTAATAAACGAACCAATCATATGGTCTCTTAAGTTTTCCATCTATACTAGATTTCTACATTTTGGCTGATGTTAGATAGTGATGAAAAATCTAGTCTACCAACGTCATACTGGTTATGAACGTCATTCAAAGTCATCGACGTGGTCGATAATTTCGCCTCTTCCCTGTCGGAGATGGTTTACTCTGTGACAGGAGCAAGAGATGATTTCACAAATTGTGTCACAATCTATCACCGATCACGTACAAGCGTTGCTGTAGGTGGGCACCACAACAGTTATGTGGAGAATATTGCCTTACTATGATTATTCTTCTAAACGAAAACCTGTAGCTTATAAATCTGTTGAAGAAGATTCCGAGTGACATCGCCCGCTCAGTATCAATTATCGACACACTCAAAGATGGTACAATCCATATTCAAATGTCCGCTATGCACAATATCAATAAACTGCACAATTTGAGGACACAACGTACCATAAGTGGGATGTGATGAGAGCGAAACCGTCTCATAAGCAAAATTGAGTGGTATAAATGAGTGAATTAGTCCGAAAGGTGAAAGCAAAGGAACCTCTAAAGAAATAATAATTTATTCTCAAATAACAGTTAGTTACAGGAGGCATGCCAGTTAACAGACAAGATCAATTTGAAACAAATGATACAATATGCAGTGTAATAAATTACATAGCACGGTTGATTATTTATAAGATATGAATGTAGATGGTTTTGATCAGTACCACAGTTGGCGCGCTTCATGAAAGTTGCGTTGCGAACGTGCGACTGATGGTCAAGGATAGGTCCATTGAAGGTATGAGCTTCTAGAAATCGCAACCTTATGTCCTTTTGGGATACCCAAGGCTTTAAGGATGGTGCAAGATGAAGTCACCAGTTCCATATCTCAAGATGGCTGAAAGAACTGACATCTGCGCGCTTTTCGAACGGGAAGTTTAGTACTAACGTGATTTGCATTTATCAAACTTTTGCTGTGTTCTTACGCAACAAAAGTACCATTTCAGTTCTAAAGAATCTATCCTGAGCTATACGTTCGGTAGATTACTTTTTTTTTGAGTTTCACCATATTTAATAGTTACCTGTGGTTTTGCCTCAGTTTACTATTCGGTTTGTTTTTGTTTTTCACGTATAGACTAGTTTCAGTTTATAACACTCGTTTTATCCATTTTTGTCCGTTTTCAGTGTGCTTTTTAGTGTTTTTTAAAGGTCTTAGGCTCTTGCAAGCATCTATAACATAGTTTGCTTCAACATAGTCATGAAAAACTCATGCAAACGTCCGGGATGCCGTTTTGCTGTTGCAACTGGCATGCAGTGTGACAACTGCAAAGGTTGGTTCCACGAAGCATGCACAGATCTGACATCAACTGCTTACAACAGATTCAGCAAGTCAGACCAAAAATGGGTATGTGTCACGTGCAGCACGGATGCTGTAGTTTTGCTGAGTAACATCATTGTCCTACTGACAGGTCTTCGGAACAAGTTGTCAGTTAACTTGGACAACGACAGTAAGAAAACCGGTAGACAAACAAGAGCGTGCGACGGACACAAAAACAGGGATGTCGATAGGCATAACATCGATGGAACATCCATCAACACTAATGATGACGTGTCGAGGCTCAGCACCATCATTACGTTGAGGGTATTAGACTCCCTAAGCAAACTCGGGTCTACCAGCTCAGGGTCCCTGAACTCAACAGTGGTTCTGAAAAACCCTGTAGATGATTCGACCCAAGTTAAGAAAGCCCAAAAGAACCAGGCATCACCGCCTAAGCCGAGCAACCCAAGTGTTGCTGTACGGAAATTAACTGGTGATTTGGTAGCACAGTCTACTCCCAAGACTGTTCGTCCAGTCAAAAAAGAGCTCAAGCCTCATAAACGCACACTGACCTCCAAACAGCAAGTCCTTAAACACGAACCCGCCGTGAAACCTGGTAAATTAACAATAGTTCGTGACGACTCTCTCATTATCATGAACCTCGTTGATAATCCTGACCTTCCTCTCAGTCTGCAGGACAAAAAGGACAGGATGCTTTGGGGCGAATTGAACAAGAAGCTAGAACTTCCTAGAATAGAGCCTTTGATGGTCACCCGGCTCTCTAGAGGAAAGGACTCTAAGCATCTAAATCACCCAAGGCTTCTCCGAGTATCATTTAAGAATGCTACTGATGTTGAGGACGTCTTACTAGCAAGTCACTTGCTGAAATCAGATGGTAACGTAAGAATATTGCCCGATATACCGTTCTCTGAGCGCAATATCATACGTAACATCCCTAAAGAATCTCGTGAGAAGTTTTTCCGCGGAAGAAACATAATTGTGCAAGGTATACCGGAGAATACAGACACTACTCAATCAAATTCTGACATCAGGGAATGGAAATTCATCAAACAGTCCTTGAGGCTCAAACACATACTGACTCAGCATGTGACGAGATTAGCCAAGAAGGACGGTGATCTTAGACCTCGTCTAATGAAGATAACCTTCCCATCTTCCCACATGGCGGCTGCAGTTCTGGAAGCATTTCGTGCCAACAGACGTCGATTGCCACCTGGAATCCACATGCACCCGGACAGGCCATACGAAGCCAGGACCAAGTACAAAGGCAAGTTGGAGCTGACCATTCCACTTGTGGATTGTCTAAACGATAAAAAAAACGTGTAAAGGACAGGGCCTACCACCTCGGTAAACCTCACATGGGTGGGCTACCTGTCCATTCACATAAGGCTCATACAAAAAAACAGGACGAAGCTCATGCGTTCCAAATTGAAAGCATAAACTGCTTATACACGAACGCCTCGAGTCTACCAAACAAACTGGATGAATTACGTGAACTTTGCAACGCTAATAAGGCCCACCTGATAGGAATATCTGAAACCTGGATATCTTCATAGTTCTCGGACCAAGAGTTAGATTTACCAGGGATGACTTTGTTCCGCAACGACAGAACAACAGGAATTGGGGGTGGAGTAGCCATATACATAAGCTCTTGCTTGGAGGTGCACCAAGTTCACAACCTCGAGTTTAACAATCTTGAGGAAGCCATATGGTGCTCTGTAAGATTGTCTAGCACTTCGAGGTGTCTAGTCGGTGTCATTTACAGGAAGCCAACTGCTGACATCGAGTACGATAGTCGTATGCTGGATGGACTATCCCGCTCTACCCGTCTCGGTTTCACACATATCCTGATTCTAGGGGACTTTAACCTTCCTAGAGTCAACTTCGTGGAACACACGTATACTGGAGGTGACAACTCAATTGAAGCTCGGTTCTTTAACCTCATTGATGACTTGGGCTTATATGAAAATGTGAGGTCGGCAACTCGTTGGAGAAACAGTCAGACACCATCGCGGTTAGACTGTGTATTCACAAACGAAGAATTCCTTGTTGACAACCTCTCAATCTTGGCTCCTCTGGGAAAGAGCGATCATGCCGTCATAGCCTTCAGTTTTGTCACGAAAACTAAGCTAAGGTATCCCAACAATAACTTGCGTTGGAATTTTAAACGGCTGAATGTGCCAGCTCTACACGACTATTTACAACAGGTGGTTTGGGATGTTCATCCCAAACTCGATGTGGACGGTCACTGGAACTTCTTACTGCACATGCTCTTATGTGCTACAAACCATTCAGTTCCTCAAACGGTTCCCAAAAGCTGTAAGCCACCGACAATAATCAAGAACCGTACCCTTCGCCTGCTAAGCCGTAAAAGGCACTGTTGGGCGGAATACAAACGAACTGACAACGACGGAGCGTATAGGCAATTCAAACATATCAGGAACATATGCACGAAGGCTATAAGAGAAGACAGGCTTCATTATCAGACAAAGCTCATGGACAAATTTGCCTCGAACCCTAGAAGCCTATTCCGTTATGCAGCCTCTCTTCGTCAAGCCAAAACAGGAGTTTCTCAACTGCTAGGTCTTAATGGCCCAACCAACAACGATGGTGACGCCGCTAACCTTCTGGCGGCACACTACTCTCAAACATTTCAGCCGGCTGACATCAACTCTATTGACGACAGTTTCACCTGTAATCCCACAGGGCTTTCCGAAGTGGACCTAAGCGCTGACTTGGTGTTCCGGAAACTGCAGCACTTAAGACTAGATACTTCTCCTGGCCCGGATATGGTTCATTCTGCCATACTGAAGGAGGCAGCCTCAATCCTGGCAACGCCGCTTAGCGTGATGTTTTCACACTCGCTAAGCCAAGGCAAATTACCGGAAAATTGGAAGTTGGCTCACATCACACCAATTTTCAAAGGGGGTCGACGCAATGAACCTTCAAGTTATCGGCCTGTGGCTCTTCTGTCATTACCTTCAAAACTCATGGAGTCCCTGATATGCGATGGTTTAAATGATTATCTACTGTCCTTAAACTTCTTCTCACCCCAACAGCATGGTTTCAGGAAGGGTTACTCTTGTATAACCAACCTGCTGACTGCGGTGGACAGATGGACAAGCATCCTCGATCGCAAGGGAAAGGTTGATATCATATACCTTGACTTCTCAAAAGCTTTTGATAAAGTTAACCACTTGTGTCTTATCAACAAGCTCAAACGACTAGGTATCAAACCACCTCTAATCGATTGGCTTACTTCAAACCTAAAAAATCGACACTTTAAGGTTAGGGTTAATTTCACTTTATCTCAGGCTATGGAATGTCCTAGTGGGGTTCCCCAGGGCTCAGTATTAGGGCCTCCCCTCTTCTTGATCTACATAAACGATCTTCCTCAACAGGTAACGTCAGACTTACTACTTTTTGCCGATGACGTGAAACTTTGAAGAGAGATACGCAACCAAGACGATACACAGGCACTTCAGGAGGATCTGACTCGACTTCAAAGTTGGGCAGATGATAACGGACTTACGTTTAACACTTCAAAGTGTAAAGTAGTCCATCTGCGACATGTCACAGACTACAGTTATAACTTAAGAAATTCCTCTCTAGTAGTATCCCAAGTCGAAAAAGATTTAGGAGTCCTGGTGCCCCATGATTTAAAGTCTTACGCTAATTGTGACAAAAATGCCTTTCGAGCTAACCTTGCACTGGTAACATTGAAGCGCATTTTTGGCCAGTTTGACGGAAGAACTTTCCATACAATCTTCAATAGTTTTATCCGTCCCCATTTAGAGTACGGAAATATAGTACTCCCCCCCTCACTCCAAAAGGACAAGATCACTTTGGAGCGTATCCAACGACGAGCCACGAAATCAGTTCGCGGACTCAAATCTAAGCCTTATGAAGAACGCCTCAATTCACTAGACCTTTACCCATTAGAATATAGGCGTCTTAGAGGTGATTTATTAATGGCTTATAGTATTCTTAACACTTCTGGACATCCTCTTAAACACCTACTCAAGTTTAGTTCGAATAATAACCTAAGGGGTAACACCCAGAAACTGGAAACTCAATATAGCAAGACGGGATGTAGACACAACTTCTACTCCTTAAGAGTTGTCAAAAGCTGGAATTCGCTGCCCGCTGAGCTAGTCCAAGCGACTTCTCAGCAGTCCTTCAAGAGGCAACTTGACCTATTCTTAAGGACCAAGGACAGTACCATACTATGATTTACCAATTTCTTTTCCTCTTTTATTGTTAACATACCTAGGTTCCTGCCTGGAGGATTTGGTGATCCCCTGCTACTAGACACGGAAGCCTGTTAAGCGAAAGCTTCTTCTCTTCCGTCCACAACCATTTGAACCATTTGAACCATTTGAAGGAGCAAGTAAAAGAAAGGGCGGGAGGAATAGTAGCAAATATTCATGAAGGAATGTTTAAGGTATAAATACTCAGTCTAATTTTCATTTATTAAGGTATTTGTTAAAAAAGAGCATTTTAATAGGTTAAAGAAAATAAGTGTTGACAAGGTGTGAGTGGACATACAACTGACAAATGGGGGCGATTCGGAAAAGAGCTGAGAGTATAAGATTGTGTGACGATAAAATAAAATATGGTGATAGAAACAGTATTGTGATATACAATTGGCTATCTTCCTTTTATTATCGAAGCTATTAGAGCCCCTTTCGTTTTTTTTAAAAATATTTTTCCCCCAGTTATTATAGGGTCTTGAGTAGGCTTCGTATACTAGCGAATTGTCTAGTTTGCTTGTAATAGGATTTCTGGGTAGGAAGTGAAACCAATTCAACGTTCGTAACACGACTTAAAGAGGTATTTTGCGTGATAAATCAGCTTCTATACCATAAGTTCGTGACATCCCACTAAACTATAAGGAGCCGTAATTATCAAAATGTTCTGCCCTACAGACATGGGCGGGTTGAAGTTATCTCCCCACCTTCATGTTTGCTGGTCAGTAACGCCACCCTCCCTCCTTTTGTGATGTTAGGCTCTCTTACGTTTGTGATAAGTATGAATACTGCTTTAATCAAAGCCCATAGTTGGAATACACTGTCTCTACTAGGTCCATGTTACAAGCAAGTCAGATAGTTGAAAAGTCTGTTTTATGTGTTAGATGTCCACATAGTATATCACACTGCTATGAAAATAACTAATGGTTTAAAGAGGTAAGGACTAATAGCAAATCAAAAGATATGAGAGGGCATAAAATTGTAGAAAAAAAAAGATTTCAGGGTAAGACAAATAAAACATTGAGAAACTCACAAGACTTTGTGGCCAAATTTCGAGCTTTGAGTGGTCGGCCTAAGTAGATCAGCATTCATAAGATTGAGCTATCTGTCTACTTGCAGTAGAAAAAAAGGCATGACTTTTAGGAAGAATAATGTACATTTAACCTGTAGAGATTTGGGAACTGAAAGCTAGGGTCAGGAGCATAAAGTCATGATTAATAAACAATGAGTAATAGGGAAGGATAAGCCATATGTTCTGTGATTTGGTTATATTCATATTAGTAACAGTCGGACTTGTTATAATTTTGTTCTTTCTAGATACTAGGCGGTCCGTAATAAAGTGCCTCATTGGTGGGCGGGAGTTCAAGGAAATGTTGAAGCTCTTTGGAGTCTAGAAATAGGGTTATTAGCCTTTTGAATCTGATAAACGTATCACATTTACGGATAGACATTGGCAGCCTGTTCCACAATAAACTGTACCGTACTGTAAAGAACTTACAACGCATTTGTTTTTGGTGTTTTACGGTAAGTAGTGTATATGCGTTGTTTCTAAGTCTATAGGCTGGGTCGTGGGTAATAGTCGGGCAGGAGGTTAGAAAGGAGAGCCCATATATCGCTTTGTAGAGAAATATTAAATTGTTTTTTAGCCTACGGTGTCATAAAGGTTCTAAAGATGTATGCTTACATCTGTCTGTGTAATCGAGATTCGAGTTGCATCCTAGTAGTTGACGTGTGAAACGTCTTTGAACATCTTCTACTCTTATCTTGTCTGTGATATTCATATTAGAGAATACAAAAGAGCAGTATTCAAGGGAGGGTCGTACACATATTTTGTAGAGAGTAAGTTTACCCTCTGTTGTGAAAAAGTTTTTCATTATAAAGCCAATTAGCCGTCTAGATTTAGAAATAATAGAGGAGGCATGTTCTTCAAGTTCAGGCTTCCTGTGTAATTAATTCCTAAATCGTGTACTGATTCGAGTGTTTGGACTCTACTTTCATTTAAGTGAAGTTGCGGTTTATAGGGATGCTTTCCAAAGTGCATGATCCCGCACTTGTTGAGGTTTAATGGTAATTGGCATTTTTCACTCCATATAGTTAAGTTATTGAGGTCCTTTTGGATCTGGGATACACTTTCGCTTAGTGTCTCAGGCTTATAGCTGTATACTATTTTGAGATCATCAGCATATAAGTATGGTCTCCCAAATTCTATGGTGTTACATATATCGTTTATATACATAAGAAACAAAAGTGGACCTAATACGCTTCCCTGGATGACTCCACTGGTGATTGGCCTAGGGGACGAGAGACAGTCATTGTACTTTACCATCTGTTTACGTTCTGTTAAGAACGAGGCAAACCATGAGTACAGTGGGTTGTGTATTCCGAAGGACTTTAGTTTGACGAGTAGCCTTTTGTGTGGGACCTTATCAAAGGCTTTCTTAAAGTCTAGGAATAGAACTGATACAAGGAGTCCGCTGTCTCGTTTCATAGTTATATCATTCAGGTAGTCTACTAGGCATGTATCGCATGATCTGGACCTAAGAAATCCATGCTGGGAGGTCGAGATGAGATTATTAGTTATTAGATGTTGGACTACAGCCGCCTTAACTACTTTTTCCATCACTCTGGATATCACTGAAGTTATGTTTATAGGCTGGTAATTTTCAACGTTTGCTTCAGGTCCTGTTTTAATTTTGGGAATGATATGTGTAGTTTTCCAGGCAGTAGGATAACACGATGAAGAGAGTGATATCGCGAATAGTTTGAGAAGCAAAACACACATATCATCACCTCCACGTTTTAGCATGCTAGATGGAATACCATCTGGTCCATCAGTGTATGAGTGTTTCAATGTACTGATTGCCTTGGAGATATTTTGTACACTGAATTCTACATTAGTAATTTTACAGGGAGTTACTGGGATTCGTTCTGAATCATTAAATGGTTTTTCGTTAGTTAGTGAGAAACAAAAATGTTCACTAAATAATTCTGTGACAAGTTTAGGATCTTCGTATACTTGTTTGCCTTTAATGAATATACTCCCTCTCGGTTTAGAGCGTTTAAGTTTATTTTGGAGTAGTATGGTGAGTGCAGAGGAGTTATTATTAAGTTCAACTGCACGTTTTTCCTGTGCTACTGCTTTTTGTTTACTTATTGCCTCTGTTCGGACAAGTATTTCTGTCATCGTTGCTAAAGAGGAAAAGTCATTTAAGTTGTGGAATTGAGTACAATGTCTTTGAAGACGTCTTCTTGTATTGACCGGTATATAGAGATCTTTGGAGAACGCAGGTTTACAGTATTCTAAAGGTGCGATGTTGTTGATGATACTTTTGATGTTGTGATAAAATATATTGGTTAATGTGTCGGTATTGTTTGAGGCAAAGAAAGTTCCCCAATCAGTGCTTCTTAGGTAATTGTGGAAGTTATTCCAATCAACCTTGCGATAGTTTCTACGAAGAGTTACGGTTTTGCTTCTATCGGTTGTGGTTTTTACATTAAGGCTGCATATGACAATGTTATGATCACTACCTGGGAACTTTTTTCCAATATACAAAGTATTGGGGATGAGGCCACTGGTGAAGACCAAGTCCAAGATGTTTTGATGTCTGGTAGGGCTATCGACATACTGAGTCCATTGTCCGAGCTCTAGACATTCAATAAATGATTCATAACGTCTCGGTGCTTTGACTGGCAGCCAAGAAATTTCGGGTATATTGAAGTCACCACAAATAATAATATAATATATATTTCTGCATGTGCAGGTACACACCGTTTTTACAGGCATGATCTATAAATTACAACATTTGTTGGTTCACAGAATGTTTCCCAACTTATTAAGTTTATAGTTGTTATAAAGTGAAATCGTAGAGCGCTTGCTGTAAACTATGACCTTGAGAGGACGCGTACATCAAGTTTGTTCCAAACGTCAGAGGTTTCATAGCCGTGCTCTCAGAGCAAGATTCTGAAGAAAAAAGAGAAACAGAAGAGCAGCAAGGCACTTGGATATGAACGCAAAACGTTGCTTAACATAGTGTAGTAGAACGGACAGAGGTATAATAAATTAGAATAAATTCATATTATGTCTTGTTAGTAAAATGAAGTCAGAGGCTCCATATTATAGAATGTACTAATAAAGAACAATGAGTTGTGATGTTTAACAAGTTGGAGTAAGCTCACATGAAGGAAAGGAAGTCAAGGCTGTTACTAGGAAAGCGGTTTATAAGAAGGGTGTGTATATAGAGGGTGAAGTATTAAGAATATTAATGATTACATCTTTTATTGTTTAACTTTTTTTTTCATTTTTTCGTTTTTCCGATGCCAGCCACATAATCCTAGTGTAAAAATTCGAGTTAGCATGTTATGGGTTGTCTTAGTAGAATAGCTAATCCAGCATAATATTGGAAACATGAGTTTGAGTGGTGAGCGTAGGAAAACAATCTATATCACAGATTGATTGAATTATTCTCAGTCATGAGGAGCCTGATACATACAAAATGTTCTGTCCCCACAAGCATGGGTGGATTGAAGTTATCGCCCTCACCATCAATGCTTGCTGGTCAGTAACTCCACCCTCCCTCCTTTTGTGATGTTAGGCTCATTTAGCATTATTTTTGTATATACGTCATACCTCGCACAATCCTCTGTTTCACAAACTGTTGGAAAGCACTATTTCTATAAGTACCATTTTACAAGCTTATCAGACAGTTACAAGCTATGGACTGTGGGTAAAGCATCGATGCAGTGCCTCTGTTGACTATAGTATAAAGTATAGTTTGCCAATCAGAGTATAAGCGTTAAGAAGGGTATATTGTAGGATAGTTGTTTATTTAAGCAGGCGGAAAAAGTATAGAAGTATATGAGTTGTGGATATGAGAACGAGTGGAGAAATAATACTAATTGCTAGTCAACATAGTGTACTGAAGAGTAAAAAGTTAATACAGGATAAACAGGAAGGGACTCACAGTGACTTAGTGCTGATGTTATTTTCTGTTGTCCTAACCAGTTGATTGGTAACAGGCTCCATAGATGCAAGACCACTGGTAGTAGGCAGCCGATTGTGCGGTCCTCTTGACGTTTTAGGGTGGTAGTGAGTGTCCCTTATCGACCGAGTTTATTTTAACAGTAATGATAGGTCCATTGAGTTACCTGTCTACTTCAAGTGAAGAAATGGGGTGGAAAAAGTAATTAATACAACTGCAAAGTAGGAAAAATAAGGCAAACTGAACTTGAAGTCCATTTTGGTCTAGACATGGAGAGAGCCTATGATGTTTGAGTGGGGTGCAGATGTGTTCGTACGTGCAAGATTAGTGCAGGTGAGGGCTTGATCAAGCAGTTTTACAAACGTATGTAATTCATCTGCCATGCGAGTTTCGGAGGGAAGACTGTTCCATATTATTGCATACTTGGTGAGGAAGAAGTTTTCCCGAGTTTTTGATCTGTATTTCTCAACTTTGACCGTAGATACTTTGTTTCGAAGTCCGTATTCATGTGAATCTCGGGCAAGAATTATCTTACACGTTGAATAAGTAAGGTTTTTGAGTAGTTTGAAGTAGAGAATCAAATTAGACCTAAGCCTTCTCTTCCAAAGGGGTGCTATTCCTAAGATTTGGCATCGGGAACTATAGTCAATGACCAAGTCAGTCTTAAGTACCTTGCGAGTGAAGTCTCGTTGTATTCCTTCCACCTTTAGTATATCAGATACGCGTAGGTTGGAAAATAAGAACGAGCAGTATTCAGCGATAGGTCTTACACAAACTTTGTAAAGAAGGATTTTAGATTCATTTTGATAAAAATTACGGAGAATGAAGCCAAGCAATTTCCGCATTTTGGATGCTTTGGCTGAGATGTGTTCAGAGAAATTAAGACTGTGTGAGTAATGTACCCCTAGGTCAGTTACTGATGCCAGTCTGGGCAGTGTGTGATTGCTAAGTGTTAGTTTCGTTTTGAGAGATGTGTCTCCTATACATAACCAGCCGCATTTCTCTGTGTTGAGCTCTAACCTCCAGCGTTTGCACCAGTCGTTTACCATGTTGAGTTCACGTTGGATTGTTTCCATAGTACTGCGTAAATCGGAAATGTCAGTTTTATAGATGACTTTTAAGTCATCGGCATAGAGGTAGGTCTTACCTGTGCTAAAACACTTGCATATATTGTTGATATAGATTATAAAGAGCAATGGACCCAAGACACTACCTTGCACTACACCACTGGTTATAGGTCGAGGTGTAGATGTATTAGAGTTAATCTTGGTTATTTGATATCTGTTCGTAAGAAAAGACTTGATCCATTGCAAAAGGGGATTTGTAATTCCAACTGACTTAAGTCTGTTGATTAGAAGATTATGAGGTACTTTATCAAAGGCTTTCTTAATGTCGAAGTATAGTATAATAGCTAGTTTCTTCTGGTCACGTATACGAGTAACCTCGTTGAAGAAGTCTATCAGGCATGTACTGCACGACCTTGTTCTAATGAAGCCATGTTGTGACGGGTCTATCAGATCTTCCTTGAGCAGGTGATCAGATAGTTGATTTTGTATCACTTTTTCCATTATGCGTGATATGACTGGAGTGATATTTATAGGTCTGTAGTTTTCAACCAGGTTTCTTGGTCCGGATTTGTGTTTGGGAAGAACATACGTTACCTTCCAGGTTTCCGGATATGTACCAGTCTCTAAAGATAATGTGTATATTTTGAGTAGTAGCATCTGTATGTCCGGTCCTGACATTTTATAAACGATAGAAGGGATGTCATCGGCACCAGAACTCGCATTTGACTTAAGGGTTTTAATGGCGGTATGTATACTCCTAATGTCGAAGTTTATGGTACTAAGATCGTTTTTGCCGGTGCACTTTATGTCGATGTCTGGAGCATCAGATGTATTCCCATTGTGAGAAAACCATTCACTTAATAGTTCGCATATGACGCTTTGGTCATTATACGTTACTCCATCGTGCAGTAAAGAGTGAATGTTGTGGTCTGTGTCCTTTCTTATGCGCTTCGTGAGGAGACGACATAGGGCTTGGGCTTTAGATGCAGCAGTGAGCGCAGTACGTTCCTCTACTTGCTTACGCTTGTTGTGTTGACTTTGTACTCCGTCAAGTACAGAGTATATCTGGTGCAGGGCACTGAAGTCCTTTGATATATGGTACATCCTTTTCAGTTTTCGCAGTTTAGTCCTAGTCTTTTGGTTTAGATATGGAGTAATTGTTTTAAAACCAATTTTAGAGGGTACAGTAGTGTCTAGTGCAGATTTGGTGGTGATATTGAATATTTCTAATGTTTCTAAGAGGCTATTACTGGTAAAGAAACTGCCCCAGTCAGAGTGCTTTATTAGAAATCGAAAGTTTTCCCAGTCAGCATTTGCATAGTCTCTATATTGGAACCGCGTGTTTAATGTCTTTAATTTGTTGCATATGGCAAGAATCGGAAGGGTGCAGAGGACTATTTTATGATCGCTGTTGTGAAACTTTTCGCCAACCACCATTGATGTTGGTGTGACATTATGACAGAATATCAAGTCAAGAATGTTGTGATTTCGTGTAGGCAGGTGTACATGTTGTTGCCAGCCGTGTATGTCTAAGGTCCTAAGTATGCGTTCTAAGCACAATGGGCCAGAATGTGTCTTCCAGTTGATGGTGGGAAGGTTGAAATCACCACATACAATTTTGTAAGTGAAGTCAAGCGAGGCAGCCTGAGCAAATGACTCACTTATAATAGTGTCATTTGAACTAGGAGTGTTAGGAGCTCGATATATGCATCCGATTAGTATTTTACATTCATGAGTGTACACAGTAAGCCATATCGATTCAGGAAGTTTACTGAGGACGTGGTCGCTATAGATTTCCGCTCTCAAATATTTTGATACATAAACGAGACAACCACCACCCTTCTTGGTTAATCGATCACAGCGGAAGAGCTCATATGTGTCTATTTGTAGAAATGTGTCTGTGGTGTCGGAGGACAGCCAACTTTCCGTTATCAAAACAAGTGAGGGGTTGTTTAAAAGTAAAAGGGTGCGTAGGTGAGTCATCTTACTTTGTACAGATCGAGCGTTAATTAACATAAGTGTCAGGTACGGCGACTGTTTGTCTAGTAGAAGGGTATGATGTATACCCAGTGATTTGTCTGTTTTGCAACGAGAAAAGGAAGAATTGGGAGCGTCGACTCCATATTGATGAGCGTTTAGTTTATTACCAGTAGGGTTAATGCGAGAAGGGTAGTCGGGTGTTGTTTTGGTGAAGGAAGTATGTCTAAGAGTGGAAGGTAGAGTTGAATGGTTAGGTAATGTGTCCGGGGAATGATCAGGGGGTCCAGTCAAGAAGTTTTCAAGACTAGAGACATTTATCGAGGTTGAGAAGGATCTGCCACTCCCCATCAAATCGGAGTATATAGATGGTTTCAGAATAGTGGGATTGTCGCCCTCAACATTTGGAGACCCCATAGCAGTAATGTTGAGGGGGGGAGAGATAAAAAAGGATGAGATAGTGTGTATGTCGAATTAGGGGGGACTAAACCGCTGTATTGGGTGGCTTGACTTAGATAGTACCTAGAGTCAGTAGGTGGGTTTCCAAGTAGGCCAACATTATGGCTTCTTTGTGTGCGGTGGGCAATTTTAGTCCTATTGTGGTTAGTTGGGGAAGTTGTATGTTTCTGATGAGGAATAAAGGAATGCCTGTTATTGTTGCTAAGAGAGGTGTTTCTGATGTGTATAGTTTTGTGTTGATTCATGGGGCTTGCAAGGTTGACACTATATGACTTATGGGTATCACGTGTGGGTGTGGTTCTTGTCAAATGTCGTTTCACATTAGGATGAGTGGGTGTTGCCAGTTCACTATGTTTGTTGTAGGGCATTCTATTGCTATGAGAGGGTGCACGTTTTGGGTTAGAGGTGCTGGAGTATTGGTGGGTTTTTACGGAGGGTTTGGTATTATTTCGTACAGCGATGTCTGAGAGTCTGTAGCTGTTAGCGCAATTCCTGGGGTGGTCATTTTTAGGCATTTTACAGGGGCCGCTAGGGTGATACTTGGACGCTATTGAGGCATAAGTGGTTTGGCATTTTGGGGTAGCTGAGTGTTTGGGCTGAGGGTGAGTGGTTGTAGCTGCTTTATGAGCGGTCTTGTCCTTAGGATTAATTGCAGTGTCCGACGTGCCTCCGTTTTTTGGGGGGGCAGTGTATGATATTTTAGGATTTGTGCAGTGACAAGAGCTGTAGCTGCCGCGGCTACGTAAGCTGGGTTGATCTGTTTGTGTTCCATTGCAGATACGACGCTGGATAGCGGTCCTGTCATGAATGATCCTAATCTTTTTAAATGTTGGAATACGCCTCAGTAGTGACTGACTATTAAGGAGGTGATTAGCTTCAGTGGTACTACCAAACTGAAATAGAATGGGACATGAGGTTTTAGTGTGTCCTTTACGTAATCTCCTTGTTACACACCAAGATTGCGACAATCCACACTCTTGTAGCAGAGTATTTTTAGCAATCTTTATGTTCGTACTATCAGGTATATTATACACAATGACATTATGCATACACTGAAGTCTTTTCAACACTTCGGTTGATATATGGTCAATTATTTTTTCAGTGTTTTTTATAATTTCCAGATCGGGATTTTCTGGAACACTGATTAAATATTTGTACGGTAATAGGTCTTGAATAGTTTGGGTGAGGCTAAGTTCTGTTTGGGTGCTTCTAGGTCTACCAGTGGTGAGATTATTCAAGTTTATATCAAAGTTTTTAAGGTCGATATGGTTACATATAGGCCTGTTACAGGTGTCTAGCGGGTGGTCACTTTGTGCACACTTAGTTGGGGGATTGGGTATATGTCTGGGTGAGTAGTCAAGATCTACGTCATCGGGCTGGCTATTGTAGGCAGTCGTAATTCGTGAGCCGCTACTTAAGATGGCCGATTGTAAAATTGTTGGGTGTTTGGGGTCAGCCGCACTGTCTAAATACTGCTCACAATATTCGGTGCTCTTTTTGGGACTGACAAATGATGTCGACTCTAATAGCATGTGACTGCTCTTATTTATATCGACAAGCGAGATGCAAGGTAGTGATATGTCTTGTCCAAGTAAAGGGTGCACGTTTAGTGTGGCTGAGGGAAGATCAGAGTAGGATGCAGACTGATCAGTGTGTTTATAAGGTTTCGCATTATTCACTTTAGTGACTGATTTAGATCTTTTGCAGGTGCTATAGGCATCTGGAGAGATTATATGTTTTTTAGATGGCCTGGACATTATTGGAAGTAATGTTAATTCAAAGTTTAATTAGGTGGATGGCGATAGCTGTAATTTAACTTAGTGAACGTGTAAAGTTTTATGGTAGGATCAGACCCAGTATTAGTTAAGAGTAAATATATTACAGTTAATTGGTGAAAGCGTGAAAACTAGCATTATTAATTTATGAGGTTGAGTTCCTAAATAAGGTGTAAAGTTAATAGAACCCTATCAGTGACGAATTATTTATTGCTATCAAGTGTTAAATTAAAGAGAAAAACGGATAGGAAAATAAAATAATACCACGTGAAAAAAAGTTACAACCTTCAAAAGCGCGCCGTACTAAAAAAAAAAATGAGCTTGCCTGTGAATGAGAGGGATGATGCTAGTGTGAATACCTCCGATAATACTGCTATATCATCTATTGATGCGTTAGGTTGACGATAAACACAGCCGAGCAGTAAGGTAACGGAATTCGACAGCTTTAATACAATCCACACCGAATCCTTCAGTTTGTTTAGTTCAGGCATATCACATAGTAGTGAGTTTAGGCTAGAGTGAGCGTAAATAAGGCATCCTCCGCCTCGTCCATTCAATCTGTCACTTCTATACAGGAAATAGTTATCAAAAGATATACTTTGGTCGGAAATATTACTGTTAGTCCATGCTTCAGATATCATAATAACTGATGGTTGATATATGGATACAAACAGGGCTAAATCCGTCTTTTTGTTGCAGATCGACCGAGCGTTGATAAGACATATATTAAGCAAGTGGCCTACTAAGTTAAAATGGGTGAGGGTATCCCGGATAAAGTCGTCGTAACCCTCGCGGGTGTGAGATGAGTTTGAAATGATGGATTGAATGTTCTTCATTAGCTCGGTATTTTGATAGCTAGATTTAGTGGGAGATGTATCAAATGAGCTAGTGAAGTTGATTGGGGAGTTTACCCAGGAGGAAAGGGTGGGAGTACTCTGTGATGGAAACTGTACGGAGGAAACAAATTTATGGTTTGCATGTGGTTTGAAATAACCTGGGCTACATGCTTCAACAGAGGTGTCACTAGGGGTCTTATTCCAAAAAAATCTTGTACAGGCCTACTGTGAAGTGTATGGTTATTTACAAAATAGTCTTGATGGTTAGACTCGTAGCGCCTGTTATGGCTATTTACGTTAGCATGAGAGGGGTCTGCTACGCGTAACTGGGAGGAGTTGCAACTGTTGTTGTACATGGGAGCCGTTGTTATGTGATGGGTCGGTAGTTAAGGGTATGAGGAGTTTTCTTTCTGAGAGTAATTACAGTTGCGATCCTGGGGAATGTAGGTAGGGTGTGGAGTGAGAAACCTATTATTACCATTCCTATTTATGGATTTAGGCTTCAGAGGGTGATTTAGGTGGGCAGTTCTCTGGTATTTTTCGTTAGTCTGCGTGTAAGAAGGCTTGCTACGTTGAAGCCCACCACCCATTTTGCAACTTGGGGGTGCTGAAGGCAAGTTATACGATAGCAGCGGGGAAAACCTGTTCACTGTTCTTGGGATACCTATAGAGCAGTTAGGTTCAATCTTACGTGTTTCCCTACTCGGTATCATGAGTTTTGTCTTCCCACCCTTTATTTTCAGAGCTGGAGTATTTCGTTATCTTTGTGAGATGAACTTACGTTCATTCAAGTCTACTTGTGGAATATATTTAGGAGGACAAATTTTCAAGTGTATAGGTTTAGTTGCACGTGTGTTGTTATACGACTCACATTTTAGTACATTACTGAACGAACAGCTGGGATTAGTCATGTCTTTATGGTTTTTGGTGTCAGTTGGGGTCCGTATCTTATCCAAAGGTTTCTGATCTGTAGACTCATCTAGATCAACAGAATGATCAGCCGTATGCGGAGTGGTGTCATGCTTATTGTTCGTGTGTTTTAAACTATTTGCTGTGTTGCAAACTGTCTCAGGCTGATTATTAACTGTAACACTCCCATTCAATTCCATCGCTTCGCGTCTTCTTACACGACGTTGACAGGGCGTAAGGTCTGGAGTGACTTTTATATTTTTGTATGGAATTAGTGAGCTAATGTTTTTGCTCAAATCAATAAACTGCTTAGCATCGTTACAACAGCCAAACATAAACAAAATAGGGCAAGTCGATCTGTCTGACTTTTTTCTAAGGCGGATGACTTTGCAGTTAACGTTCGGCATACCGCATGCTCTGAGGCAAATATCTCTTAGCTTAGATGGGTGTGTGCGGTCGGGAAGGTTATACACAACTGCATTGAAGGAGGACATCACTCTCTTCGTCACTTCTTCAGCCACAAACTCCAAAATACACTCAGCTTTAGTGAGTTGCTCAAGATTTCTGTCTGTGTCAAGGCCCCATATATGAGTGAGGGGTGCTAATTTCTCAAGTTTGCCGTTAATTTCGGATAGAGAGTTTTGCAGCTGTCGGATTTCATTACTATATCTATCAGTATTTTGGTGTGTATGAAGTGGACCATTGGACTCTTTAGTTTTTGAGATTTTAGACTTAGGCCTTGGTAGCACATACTGTCTAGTAGACTGTGCTGACTTTTCGATGCACGTAGGTATAGTGTCTTGTATGTCAACCAGTCTTACCGTTGGCATTCCGCACGTAGAGATAGAGGGGCTGCGACAGGGAGAATCTGGTGACGATAGGGACATTTGTGTACAATACACATATTTTTCAGTAGTTAAAGGTTCGACATTGTCAAGCACTGAGTCGTCAGTTGTAGGGGTTACAGATTTGGACCTTTTATTTGGCACGTTTAATTGTACGTTTGGTCACAAACGGAAATCGGAAGGTTTGAAAGTGAGGCAAAAATCGTAAGATCTTTAACTAATATCTTATGTTTAAGGTCTAAATTCCGTAATTGTCAATCTAAATTCCGTGTAAGACTAGAAGAGCAAGGATATGTCATCAAATCCTACAAGATGATACACAATCATCCATGTAGTAGTTCATGGATGGTATGTGATCCATGGACAAGGAGATTATCGTCGGAAGAAAAAGAGAACTTGAAGCCCGTAATACTTCACTGTGAGTCAGCAGACGAAGTTATCGAAAGTATTAAGGAGAGAACTGGTAAGCAAGTAACTGCTGCCGATGTCAAAGCTATGAAAGCTACACTCTCCACTGGTAAGTGTATATAAATATATTTCAGGTTGTTGTACTCGGAAGCAAGTAATGGATATGCTTAGACAAAAAGGCGAAGTGAGGGAGCATTTAGAAAATGGATATGCGACGAGAATATGTTTCAGTAGTTATAACCAAATACAACTCTATAGGAAATATCCAGAAGTCATGTGCATTGATTCTACGTATAATACTAATAATAAAAAGTGAATATGTTTATCGTTGTGTTTTACTATGTAGATATTCCTTATTCCAGATAGTGGTGACGGATAATTTCGGTCGAGGTCGAACTGTAATGTTTGCGTGGACTAGGAGGGAAAAGCGTTCCGATGTGATATGGATTTTAGATCAATTCAAAAAGGTAATGGGTGACACAATGTTGACTGAAACATTTGTGATGGATTGCGCACGATGTGAAAGCGCGGCTGTCCGTATAACACACGGACATGCAAACATAATTTTGTGCGCCTTTCATGTAATTCGCGCTTTCCGTAAAAAGGTACACCAATAGTTACTTATATAAAATTGCCCTTAGACAAACGACAAAATATTGAATATCGCTAGATTTAATCAATATTACAGAATAATCAATCGGCGGGACAGATCGATAGGTCAGTACCTGTCACGTTATTGGATGGCACGTAAGACAATGTGGGCCCGTGCCATTTTACGGTGATGTTTTAACATTGGGTAACAGCACGAATAATCGTGTTGAATCGCTAAATCGGCAAGTAAAACGAT